GAATATCTTTATCCTTTAAACCAATGGAGAAATCTTGGCGTGGCTAGATAGGTCAATGACGTCAATTAACTTTTCTCCTAGCTACTCATTTGAAGGTAAAAACATTGCAGACATGTCAATGGAGTTTTGGCAGTCGCTGAAGTTCCACAAAACTTTTTTCGAGGTTGCTATACTTTAGCTATAGTTTAGCTCAAATCTTAAGTTGTGTAGTTGGATGGAAGCGGTAGTCCAGTACCTCCCCATTCGTAAACCACAATTGTTGCGCTATTGTAGACACATTTACGATATTGTCGTGATTGCAAGATTTTTCATCATTTTCCATCATACCCTCGAAAAGGATGTCGACCATAGAGAGGAACTAAAAATCATTCGCTTAAGTTTTTTTACATGTGCTTTAGCATTAATAGCAAATTCTCACTTTTTTCATTTGTGGCCCAGACTTTCTCAATTTTTCCTTTATGAGGCCGGCTCTAGAGAGACCAGTGGCACATCGGTACAGCACACAAATGAAATCATCTTAAATATGAAAGGAAACTTTTTCTGTTTCTTACACGCGAGAAGAAGGCTTACCCATTTGTTCGTGAACCATAGCAGTAACAATATCACCTCTGGTGCTGATTATCCTAAAGTAGGAAGGAGAATAATTGGATAAAGATGAAATAGACGAAAAAGAACTTACTCATCTGACTCGTACGAGAAGTATTCTAGTCCTACGAGAAGCATGTGTAAGGCAAGCACATGCAGCGTAGCGAATGTCTGAAGAAGTTCAAGATTTACAACATTTCCTAGCTTTTGTGCATAAACTCTTTACTATTACTCAAAACGTCGGTCAGCGCCATTCCTCCATACAAACACAAATACAAAGCATTTCGATTGAACGAATATCGAATGTTCGTATCAAAAATTTTCAAACGAATAATAATGTTTGAAGAGCCATTTGAGATAAATGCAAATACGAATACTCAATAATGGGGATCTTGAATACTCGACTATTTACATAATCGAGTAATTGGGTATGATATTCGCGTGTTCGGAAAAATCAATAAGTCCCTTTTTCAAATATTTGCTATTCAAATGTGCAAATAATTGAATTATCGAATTTCTATCGAACATCTGCTCGCTCTAATTAATTTTAATTATTTCGCAGATAAGCAGAAAAAAACAACTATTTGATTATTTCGCAGATATTGGAACGATCGGAT